TAACAGAAGGGGAAAGATTTCATCTCTGAGGTGGTCCCATTTTAAATATGTTTTAGCCTTCTTACAGAAAGTGGCTCTCTGTATACGTTTACACACCCGCCTGCCAGCCGGTGCCTTCACCCTCCTCTGCTCCCTCCTTTTAAAGTCACAGCTGCTCATTCATGGCACTCTGCTAACACCTGGACTTTTTGGCTCTGTGTGTGTATGTGTGTGTGTGTGTGTGTGTGTGTGTGTGTGTGAGAGAGAGAGAGAGAGAGAGAGAGAGAGAGAGAACACAATTTATGAGCTTTATGGAACAGAAGGCTTTAAGTCAGCTCAGAAGATGCTATGTAGGACAGAAGCTGATAAAACAGCAAAACGATTTCCTCACAGGAGAGTAGAGAAGGGAGAAAAATTAGATTGTGTCACACCTGTGGTTCACTGAACACACCGAAAACAAGAGAAAAAAAAAAGTGTTGTCTAAAAGGTGTTTCTTCAGGACCATTTGTTGCTGCCAGAGCAGTAGCTGTGAACAGAGTACAGAATGAGGCGCTCCATGAGCCCTGTCTGGCATTGCTCTGTGTCCCCTCTCTCCTGCTAACCAGCCATATGACCTTGGGCAGACTGGCTAACCTGTCTCAGGCAGAAGTTCAGCATCAGTAAAATGGAAACAAATTGTATTTTTTCATAGGGTGCTTGGGAGGATTGAATGAGAGTGTAAATTAGGTTAGTGGGAACTGCTTGAAAGATGAGTTCATAGAAAGCAATGAATACCAACTCAATTATTTGTTGATTTGGTGTTATGCAATCTTAACTCTTTTTGGCATACTAATTGTTACATTGTTAGAAAATTTTCAATTTTAAAAATTATATATATATACATATATGTACATATATGTGTGTGTGTGTATATATATTTATATATATATATATAGTAAATGAGGTTAATAATGAGGTTAATAGCACTGTATGTGTTTTAGGGGTAAGGTTATAAATATTGCCACACTATACTCACTACCAAGCACCAAAAATCTGCCACTATAGTTTATCTTGAAAGAGAGAGAAATTAAGAATCTGTTGTTTCAACAACTCAAAAATATTCTTCCTTAAGAGAATGTGCCTGATTTCTACTTCTTTCATCTAGAGTTAGCCATGATACAACCCTTCAACATGTAGTTCTATATTCTACATTAGCTCAAGAGTTCTATGAAATTCCTGATGAATGAGTGAAAGAGTAATGTAAATACACAATTACTCAACCCAACATGGCAAGGTTTGTTATTGTTTTGCATTTATTTTACAGAACATGGAACTCAACAGAAACCACTTCCAGACAATTTTTCAATGACAACACAGTGAACAATGTCCATTAATTACCTTGCTCAAAAGAAAGATGGATGAATGATTTTGCTTTTCAGACTTCAAAGCAAAATAGAGTTGGCAAGGAATAGGAGTGGCCATTACGGAAATCCATTTTTCAGGGGTGACACATTTTGTATTTATTCCCATTTGTAAATGTCTTCTAGTTTGAGAGAGAATGCAAGGACAATTTCTGGAAGATGTTTTGAAATTTAATTTACATGCAGTCTGTAAACCCATTCCTTTGGCTCTGCACTTGTAAATACAAGTATATCAGGAATTTGCACAGAGACATGAATGTTTTCACCGATGTTGGGTGGCTCTGGTTGGGAACTGTGTACATTAATCTTTTGACCAAATAGCTGCATGCCTCTCTTGCACAACTGGGCCCTGTGGGTAACTTCTGTGCAGTGTATTCATAGGAAGAAAACCTGATATTTTAAATTCTCCTCCCTTCCTCTGGGAGGTGGCAGTACACTCAACACAAACCCTTGCTTCTTATACTTCCAGGGCTGGAAAAGTACCTTTTCAACTAGCAACTGAAAAACAAAGGACACTAGTAAACAGTTGACAGCTCAGCACAGTTATTCTCAAGATGTCTTGTCATTGGAGTTAAGAGATTGGCCTCTAGTGGGAATCGAAATACTCAAAGCTCTTTATCTACTACTTCTGGCAGACTTTTTGCTGAACTTTACTTTTTGGTTAATTCAATGAGAAACCGATGCAACTTTTAAACTGTTCAAGGACTGTATCAAACACCTGTTATGTGAGAATGTTATCTAATCTTGAATGGTGTGTATGGAATAGGACAAGGTTACTGCCCTTAAGTAGTTCACCAAACAAGGAAGTAACATCAGCAACTTAGAGGCATCATACTTCCCTTAAATTGTAAACTCAGGCACACACAGTAATGAATTCACTGAGGAAATATGTTTAGTCTTAGTAGCTGCTACAAGTAGCCTCTGCTCTGAAATAGTCAATAGAGTCCTAAAGAATAATTCGCTTGCCATATGGCAGTGTCTTCCTGATATGTAATGGAATCTCTGATCCAAGTCTTGTTCATAATATCTTCTGGGTTATTCAGTAAAGAACATGGCAAATATTTATGTTTGGGGTGTCTTCTACCCTTGAATTGAGAAGGAAGAATGGCTTTTTCAAGAATACTTCCCACTCAGACCTCTCAATAAAAGTGCACACACCTTACTGAAGATGGATCCTGTCTGCTTCAGCAGGGTGATTCTGTTTGTAGCTTATGGGAAGAATTGCTGTGAAATTGTAAGATACTCTGGAATTAATGCCTGAGATGGAGGCACTATTCCAGAATAGTCTTATAAAAGGTGTGAACTTGTGCTCTTTGATGTAATGACAATAATATAAAACTGAAGTAAGATTTGCTGCTTCTTACTGGGTTTAGTACACGGCAATTAGGAAGACTTTATTGAGTTTTTAGAAGATTGTCTCTCTTTGTCCTTGAATGGCAAATACAAAAGTTTAAATATCAATAGCTGCTTTGTTCAATAAATCATAGTGAGAGCAGATGATGGAAAATCAAACTGGAGTCTTCAACAGGTGTCTGATTGTGCTTTCTTCTGAGAAAAACTTCAGTTTCTCCATAATTCTCATATGGATGCTGCCTGTTTCCCAACTCATTTTGGTGACAAGAAAGGGAAATACCAACACTGACTTTATTTTCAGGACCAAAGTGTCACCAGTGACCTCTGTTCATGACTTAGCCCTGAATACCAGGATGGGGTCTTCACACTTATAACTTATGTTAGAGCTGGACTTCACCATATCCATAAACAAATATTAAGTTTTCAGTTAAGTATCAAATTTCTGTCTGCAGACTAGGTTTTATTTTTCTTAATTCCAAAACACATAGTCTAAGTGGCCTTTATTTAAATTGTTACTGCTTTCTAAACATCCTTTAAGTCATGTGTGAGTCACATTCACTTAAACTGTCATTTGCTAAATAAGCTCACTTATATTTAAATTCTTATCTAAAATGCTATGCTTCAGATGTTTTTTCATAGACAATGGCAATGTCATACAAAGAGAATTTCTTCCAAAGATTCCTTTGCTTCCCTGATCTTCCAGCCCCATTCTTCCTCCTGAATTTTTGCTCTTTACCATTGCTAGAAAACCTAGGGTATATTACTTAAGGGAGTAATTGTATTAGCAATGCTTTGGTGTGAATTGATGGCTGTGAACCCCCAAGTTCTCCCTTCCCCCTTTCCTCTCAGCAATATGTAACTTGTGAAGAGAATCTTAAAGGTGCTGGGTGCTTCCTTGTTCTTATGTTCAAGTTTTTGCCAAATTGGTGCTTAAAACACATTACACATGAACAACTTGTAGGGGTTTGGTGCAGTCTTAAGGTGGAGAACTTCATGAGGGGTTTTAAATAATGAGCTTTTCTCATTTTCAGGGTACTTCAGAATACTGGTCGATGCAAGTTTAGTCAGTGGCCTTAAACTTCTGAATGTTGCTAAGGTGTAAGTCATGGTCAGCAAACTCATAATTGAGGATAAGCATTAATTCTCATATTTGCTTACTAATAGAGGCTCAATTTTTTTTTACCAAAATATAAAATGGGACTCAAGTAAAATATAAATAGACTCAAAATTGGAATATTCCTCCCAGAAACATTACCCTGTTCACACCTGCTCAGATCAATCTCCTGTGATTTTTTTTTCGAGTGCTTATCAAGTTTTGCCACCTTTCATAGTTTCTTGAATAGAGCAATGAGGTGTTTCCTGCATGTGTGTGTATCATCTTCCCACTGATCTTCCCACTGGGAGAGGCTTGAGTGAAGTGATAACATTTCTTGTGCCTCCTCCCAGACTCCTAACAGATGCTGCAACAACTCTCACCTCCCAAATATGAGCTGGTTTGATACATATATCATTTGTGGTGTTGTGATGTTTTTTACTCAGTTGAGCTGCATTATAGTTAAACAAACGAAAAAAATGCTGTAACAGAAAGATGTTTGTGTTTTCATTTGAACACAGAGGACAGAACAAGGAAGGTAGTGGCTCTTAGAACAGAAAAGGGATGGTGTGTGCTTGATACCCAAGCTGTTTGCAATCTGCAGCCAGCACAGTGATGTGACAGGAAAGCAAGCTTCCTTTGTGAAGAGTTTGGGGCTCCCAGGTCCTAGCCTGTCTCCTTTGGCTGGTGGAACCTTTCACAGGTAGAATCTTTGAGTGCCTCTTTGATGTTGGCTATGGTTACCAGTAAGAGCAAATTTTTTCCAGTTCAGCTTTACGTTGTTTACAATTACCCTTGGCCTTAAAGTTCTTGGCCCACTTCTTTCCCTTCTTTTCCAGCTCTGGCTGACTCTCTGTACTAAATTTCTTTAATCTTTTCTCTTGCATTCTCTCTGCTTTTTTCCACCTCTCTCCTGTCTTCACTTCAAATTGGACATATTTAATAAAAAATGTTGTCTAGGTAGTTCAGTCAATCTGGTTGACTTGAACTTAAATATTGGGCAAAGTACATTTTAAGTGGTTTTTAACTAAAAGTTAATGTTAAAATGTTGGAATATGTACCAATGTAAACATATTAAATTTAAGACCATGTGCAAATGCATCTTAAAAAAATTACATTGTATTCTTTCTACTAAAATCTGAAAGGATATAGATATATAAAATCCATCTTCTGAGTCATGAGGTAATTTAGATTACATTTTATTAGACATTCTTTACAAATTTAAAATACTGCTATTTTTACATGCACAGAGGAAAATCAGTTTGGATAATTATATTTAGGCATTCATTAAAATCAACCACAAAATAAAGACACTTTATTGTGTCATTTCTCAACATACTTGATATGTATATCTAAAGTGCATTATGTTACAAAAAATATAGAAATTCAGCAGCACCAAGATACATTTACAAAATAAATACATCGGTTGACAAAATAAATTATAGTAAATGTGATAATAATAATTGAATTAGCCTTGGCAAAAAAAAATATTCACAATGATCAACGTGCAGTTTCATAGAGTGATAGGGGAGACAGTTTTATTCCAATGCATTTACAGTATTTACAGACAATAAATATTTCTAATACTTTCCATATGTCCACTCTATTACAGAATTCTGCAATATGTCTTCTGAAGGTCTCACTGAAAATTTCAATGCCTCCTGCAAAGAGAAGGAAGTGAAAGAAGAGGAGAAAATAGGTTAATTCTCTTTGCACATGAATAGGCATAAAATAAGGAACATAAGCTAATGAACACAGAATCACAGTGGAAAGAGATTCAGGTATTCTTGTTAATACCTCTTATAGGAGGCGTCTGTGGGACCTGTCTGCCTCTCCATAATTTCAACTACAGGCACAGCCTTTCATTCCATTGAATGATCGATGTGGTGCAGAAAGAGAAAGGGCCTGCTTTTCTAATTATACTCTGCGGGAGAAAAGGAGACCCTGTGAGAAGTTTCTAAAACTGCTAGTTGGCAAACTGAGAAAGAAAAGGGGCAACTTTGAAGATTCGGAACTAAAGTTAGGTGGCACAATCCATCTTCAAATACACCTTGCTTGGAAGTTTGCTCTCCAGTGAGGTTTTGAAATAGATAAGTCCAGAGACTGCTTAATCTAATCATTTGGCCAGTTTCTTTCTGAGGTACTGGGCTGTTATGGACATAAAGTTGTGTGATTTGGGGTGAATGTTGGATGGATGTGTAGGTAAACATCCTGCTTACATACTAACTGAATAATACCTACTGAATATTTAATGATGTTGGTCATTTCTTGAACCATCCCTAAACACAAATGGGTGAAGCTAATGTTGGATTTTAGTTTTTGAAGCCAAAACTAAGATAGGTTCATATTTCATTTCCCTGGTTTTTCGAACAGTGGTAGGTATTGTGAGAGGCTCTTTTAAATTAGTAAGAGTCGATTTACTTAAAAGAATGAAATAACAGTGTTTCACATCACTGTATTTGTTATTAAAAAATAAGTTACCACTTAGGAATGACATCCTTTTTAACCCTGACACACTGGAATCACAGTATTTTCAGAAATGCTAGCAGCATTTTCTCTCTTCTGTCTTTTCTTTGTGTCTATGTGTTCTATTTCAAACAAATATTTGCAGGCTTCTAAGGAAGCAACTCTAGGCTGGAATTCAGGTGGCTGTATCACTGCATTAGCAGTCAGAGTGGTAGGCAGAGTTTCACATAGGTGAAGAACTATGAAAGCGCAAACTCTGGACCTTAGGAATTTTATGTGCAGCTCAAAGCAAGCAAAGCAAGTACAGCACTTAGAGGGTTTTAATGTCTTAAGGAATTGTCTCTTTCCCCAATAATTTTGGTTAAAAGATAAAGTAGCTACCAGTTGTAGCAGAGAAAAAAGAATTTTAAGATTAAGCTGTAACTGGTGGGTGGACATGAATAGCTGTCATGAACAAAACCAAAAAGATGTTTGTAAAATTCAGGGACTTGTGACTTATACTGATTTTAAGACTTTTTTTTTTTTT